AGTCTTGTTCTTCATTGCCTGGGACCTAACTGTACAAATTTTATGGAATAAATTGATAGCCAATGAATTACAGTATTCTGTAAAATGTAACACTTAAAAATGGAACAGTATCATCACTAGGGCAGCCTGTCTAAAGCTAACATTATAACTGTTATAAACAAATGGATCTCCATTCCATTTTAGAATTTAGAGAAGTCTTTCAGGGAATAATTTATCTTATTCAGATTTCTTAAAAACTTTATTATGAAGTTTACCTGATAGACATTTCCCCTTCCTTAAAATGTATTGCAAAGAATTCCATTTTTGAAAACTTTAAAATCAGCAAACTTTGAATATGTTTGTTCATTTTCTTTACTTTTTTTCATTATTGTTTCTGTGAAGGAATATGCCAAGTTCTACAAACCAACTTGCAAATTAAATTTTCTGATATCATTTATTTGTATGCTGTCAGAGTTGCCAGTATGAATTTTCTTTGTGGGATTTAATAGACTTAAAGAATGTGCAGAATCCTGAATGGATCACTTATTAAAACTGCTGAATTTTTTAAAAAATAAAACTGGCAGACATATATTCCAGGAATTTGACCTTATTATTAAATCAAAGACTTTGTTTACATGCTGTTATGAAAAATGTTGTACTTCCCATTTGTTCAAAGTCATTCTTTAAAGAAGAAATTTGTCATTAAGTCATAAGAAAACTAACAGCAAGAAAAGTTGAATTGATTGATTATAATCTCTTGGTAATATGACCTCAACAATTTAGCTACTGATTTATTTTAAGATGCTTTTCTTGTATGGGTAAAATCTTTTACAATAATTTCTGTTCCAAGAATGTATATGCTTACTTCATTTACTTTTTTCTGCTTTAGTAGATTTGTAGAATAAAAAGGGCAATTTTAAAATGTTAGTAGCCATTCCACAGCAACTTTGAGATATTTTGAACAGAAACAATCAGTTTTCACATCTGAAATTTTTATCAATTTCTGCCCAGATCTTTCCTCTGAGCTCTGAGCTACCTGACATCCACTTGAATGTGTCAAGTTTCTCAGAATTATGGCTATTAAGAAACTGCTCCTTCTCCAAAAAGAAAAAAATCTACATAGATCCAAAATGTTACATGTAACATATTGTTCACCTCCATTGTTTATAAACATTCTAAGAAGTGAAGGGAGGAGAGAATGTGGAGGTAGGAGGATAATAGAATGAATCATACATTCTGACCCTTTGTGAATATATGATTACATGACCAGTGTAATTCTATATCATGTACAACCAGAAGAATGAGAAGTTATACTCCTTTTATGTATGATATGTCAAAATGCATTCTACTGTCATATATAACTAATTAGAACAAATAAAATATCTATACATTCTACAATTAAAACTAAATATTTAACATCCAAAAAGTAGTTGAATTAGATTACATCATATAATTATTTTTCTTATCAAGATTATTTTGAACCCTGGTGTCATGGAAAAATAGTTAAAATATAAGCATAAAAAGTATGATGTAAAAAACATGAAGTATAATGTCATTTGTGTACATTTCTAAGAACAGTACTGGAATAAAATGTATACTATAAAAAATATTATGGTACAATATTTTCCACTTATTATCAATTATTATCTTTGGATGGTAAAAATGTTGATGCTTTAAGCTTTTTCAGATATTCTACAATGAATATATAGTACCTAAATATAATAATTTTATTGTAGATTTTAATTTTATCTTAGTGCTTGACTTCAAATTTTAAATATGGACTATCATATTAGTCTACTTACATTGTGTTATAACAAATAACTTCTAAATCTCTGTCAGTTTTAACAGTGAAGTTTATTTCTTAGTTGTTAATGATCAGCTGCAGTGGCTTTCCACATTATTATTCTGAGAACATGATAAAGGAACAGTCCAGTTCTGTGATATGCTCTTTCTATGGCAAAGGGAAAAAAAGAAATAAACTAGACAATCAGCAGAACCAGTAGGTGACTTTTTAAGCTTCTGTTCAAAAGTTACAGTTACTTCCAGTTATATTTTATTTGACAAAGCAAGTCACGTGCCCAGGCTTCATGTTATGGGAACATAAAGTGTAATCCTCTGACAGGGATGGGTCTGGTTGTAGTTAGCTTAGTTAAAACACACACACACACACACACACACAATCAAATAAGCCATACCTATGTTATATTTGCTTATTTTGAATTCTTTAAATAGGTGCAAAATTATTTGGGCTGTCATGCAAAGTTGTGTAGGTTATACAACGTATGGTTCTGATGGAGAGACACCATTCACATAGTATAAGATAAAAAATGGTACTCTGAAGATTTTGTTTTGTATGATTTGGCTGTCTATACTCAGTGGCCCTGAAAATTAGTCACAAGATAGGTATATATTTTCTTTACATTTATTAAAACTGTGGTTTTGCTAATAATATTATTTGCTTATTTTAACTGAGTTCCTATTGAGTTCCTTACTGTTTTTAGAATAAGAGCTGATAAATTAATATTCCCCATATATATCTGCAAATCATGTACCAGAATTATATAACTGATCTCACTTGATACTTTGAATGGCAGTTCTCAATGGATCATAATTTCCTTGAGTTCATGAAATATATATGAATTAATGAATTACTTGTTGAGTAGTTATTCTTTTTATTTGATAGTAAACAAAATTTGCATATTTAAAGAGCACTAAGTTCTAAATTGTAAGTAGAAATAAATGTTACCTGGAAACAAAAATAAAGTAATTAGTGCTGTTGCTTGGGTAGAAGAAATGTCTTATATTCTTTAAGTTCTATATAAAGATCAGAAAGGAAATGGAATAAAAATTATATGTACTTTGAAAATACTTTTATAAATACTTTTTTTTGCTAAATAGTATAAATTTTTAATTTGAAATTTGCTTATTGAAAGCAACCATAAGGTCCTTTTCATTGTTGGTGATGAGTATGTGTGTGTGTGTGTACACCTATTATGTTCATAAAGTTTATATTTTATAAAACTTAATTTTTCAACCTAATTTTTTTCAAGCTAAGAGATAAGACTTTTCCTAAATGAAAATATTATATACATTCTTGTAAGGTGTCTTAGAGAAAAGTTTGCTATTAGTTTCACTTAAGGCTGACCTTGCTTGCTTTGTATAACCTTTCCTCCCAGAAATGGTGTAAAAGAAACTTTATATAGTTTATATTGAAAGAATTCTACATCGAAAAATGTCTGTTTGGATTTAAAAGTATCATTTGGTCCTATAGCAATAGATTTTGTGTCCATTTTTATTTTAGTAGATACTATTAAAGCCTTCTCCAGAAAGGTCAGCTCATGAATTTGTCAATTCTTGATGTTAATGATCTACTTAATTCTTGTCATTTTGGTAGAATGTAGCATTTTGAATTCCCATTATTTATTATCTTTTCAATTTTTGTTTCTTTTTCTCTGAATGGGCTGTTCACATCCTTGACTAACTTATCTATTAAGTTGTGTATCTTTGTACTTTTCATTGTAAATTAGTTTGTTACTGAAACGTCAGTAGTAGCATCTTCTCTTAGCCAAAATCAATGGCGTTACCTTATTTAATGTGCTTAACCTTTTCTTCTTGAAATCATCACCTTTACTGGAATTCATAATAACTTTTAACTCCTTATTTTCTTCTACTTCTAAAACTACTTTTCTTTTAATGTCTTTTTTTGTTCACTTCTATCAATTCTCCTCTCTTCATAGTATGCCCTTTTTCTCTGTCTTCTTTGTGACCATAATTTTGATTTCTGTTGTCCAAATCATTATGATTTGTTATTATGTTCACAAGAAAGCCTGAATTCCAATTAATGGTTAGTGAAAATAAAAATGTAATTTTTTTCCCCCACGGAATTCGCTGAACCTCTCTCTGAATTATATCTAACCTCAGGAGTCCGTAGACCTCAGGATAAATACCTTGCCAGACCTACATTATCTACTACATACTAGTGGTTGCCACCTGCCTGTCTTCATTATCATTGCAGTTATTAGCATAATTAAGTCTGCTTGAATGCCAGCTGTTTGCTAGACAAAATGCTTTATATTGCCTCCTGCAGTCCTCCTGAAAGTGCTGTTGTCACCATTCTAGAGATATGGAAACATTTGGCTTGAGATTAGGCTTGCTCAGGTTCATAAAGCTAGTAAGTATGGCAGCTGATTCCAAACAGGTTGACTCTTGATGCAAGAGTCCGTGCTCTTAATTATTATGCCACAGTGTTTTCTCTTCATCCCCTATTCTCCTCACCACCCATCCTTAAATTCAGTTCTCTGCTTGGCACCAACTTTCATTGAAAGCAAATAACTGAGAATTATCCTAGATTCTCCCTTTTATTTCACATGCAATCTATCATGAAATTTTTCAAATTATTATCTTAAAAGTTTGTTACCAAATTTTACCACTCAACCTCCTCCTTCCAATGAGGCTGTCAGATCCTTAGTTTAAGCTTTCCTTCATCATCTCTTAGATGTATCTTTCTATTAGTCTCCCAGCTATTCTCTCTAATTTGATTTTTGTGTTCCTTTAATCCACACCACTCTTTCAATAAACTTTCTTCTACAAAAGTCAGATTTTTTTACTTTCTTGTTTAAAATCATTTAATAACTCAATTATGGATATCTCAGTTGTAAACTAGCATTAACATTAGTGGTTGTTGGAGAGGATTGGAAGAAATAATGCATGTAAAAATAAGTAGTAGAGTATCTTCATATAGTAGATATTTTAGTATTGGTTCCTTCCTTCTTCCTATAAATAACAATTTTATAGTGTGTGTCTTCATTCATCTTGAAGTATGAGATCCTTATTATTGAAGACTTATTTTTTTCCTCTTTTTTAATTGGTGTAATTCAAGGCCTAATTCAGTTCCCAATACATATTACCTAATCTATTTTAAAGAATCTGTTAATTTTATAACTAGATATTTTTTTTGTATCTAGCACAATAGAAGGAAGTAAATTGCTCTTAAGTGATTTCTGTTTGTTTTCTTTCTTTAGTGGTGATGAATTCCTCAACTTTCTTCTGAAATTAAACAAACAGTGTGGCCATTTAATTACAGCTGTGCAGAATATCATTACTGAGTTACCTGTAAATTCTCATAAGGTATTATACCAAAATTATTAAGTGAAAAAAAGTATGAATACTGAAGAAAGTTCATGATAATTCAATAAAAAGTACTGATCTGGTAAAATTATATCAGTTGTTCAATGTAATATCCAATTAAGTAAATTAGTTTAATATTATTCCTTTATGTACTGATTAATTGAAAAAATTTGTGTTCTCACCCTCAGGCAAAGGAAAATGAATCAGAAGAAAAATTAAACCAATCTATGTATTGAACTTCCCATTTGTTCTTAGAGTGGATTTAATTGTTTAAAATATAAAGTGACAGGAGACCCAAGTGAAAGTTGAAACAAAACAGTGTGTTGAGTGTTATTAAAAAACTATTATCAATATAAAGTTGTTTTAGTTCAGGGAGTTTTAGAGAGAAAGTGTAAGTGACCAGCTAAAGCAAACTTATTTTCTAGAGTTTTTCACATGATTAAGGTTTTAGATGTTTGTCTTAGTTAAAAAAAAAAAATTAAATGCATTTGTTTTCCTATGATCTTATGTAATACTAGTATGGGAATCATTTCATGAAAGTTAAAAAACTTTCATGAGTTGATTTGTTCACCAGAAATATTATTACGTTAATTTCTGTGTTATATGTAACTATACTTAGGAAGTGCATTTAGCAATCTGATTTAACTATTTGCATAAAATTACTGATTGTTTATATAAAATTACTATTTATATAAAATTACTGACTTCTTTTTGGTGTCAGGATTTATCCTGAAAAACAATTCTTCTCAAATATATAATGTAATGTTTAGAAATTCTCTATAACCATTGTGCATGTAAAGTTAGATAAAGTTGTTTCCATTATTTAAAATGTAATTTTTGAAAATATTAACAGATAGTACTAGAATGGGCTTCTCCCCGGAATTTTACTTCAGTTTGTGAAGAACTTGTTAGTAATGTTGAAGATTTGAGTGAAGAAGTCTGCAAACTAAAAGACTTAATTCAAAAGGTATATACTTAACATTAAAAAGGGGAGTGGGTAATTATGGGAAATGTTTTACAACAAAAAATGCTTGACAATGGAACAGTTCTGATAAGAGTAACAAGTAGAATACTTAGACAAGTGGGAAAAGGACAATATTCAAAGTAAGAAATATACATGGAAAACAAATTTTGTTGGTCATTAAGGAAATGCATACTGAAGAAACAACATATCCTCCTCTTGTGTTTGATTAGCAAAGGAAAGGGTATCACTCCAGGGATATTCTTTCTAAGTGGAGTTTACCAGACTGACATTCTCAATGAAACTTGTAGCACACTTTTCAAAAATGGTCTGGAAAGATGTGCCAAAGACTCTAAAAATATTTCTTTCTTCAGTACTTATATAGTTGCAAAAAGGCCAAAATGAAATATAGCTCTGTTAATATAATGGTGGATGAAATATTTCTTCTATTGGCCAGACTTTCTATATTAACTTGTAATTTAACTTCTGTTTTTTAAAGAGTGTAGGTCTTTTGGGTTCTGTTTTTATATTCACATAGAAGTATATATCTGGTTTTACAGGCAGGTAATTTAAAGAAAATTAGCTATACCAAGATCTGAACTGCTAAAAATAGGAACCTTTATTGAAGGAGAAGAGAGTAAAGGAAAACATTTAGAGGCAACTAAGGAACTCATTTCTGAGTTCTTCATGTCTATTTAATAAATAAATTTTATTTCTATAATGCTTTTGGATGTATATTATGTGAAAGTTAGGTTATATATTAAATTTTACAGCTTCTACTTATAATTCATTCAACATGTTCACTAACAGTATATCAAAAAAGGTATTTTCCTCAGGCTGGGATTGTGGCTCAGTGATAGAGCACTGGGTTCTACTACTGTAGACACTGGGTTCAATTCTCAGCACCACATAAAAATTAAATAAATAAATAAATAGATAGATAGATAAAAGTCCATTGACAACTAAGAAAGATTTTTTTAAAGGTATTTTCCTCAAAATAAACTTTATACATGTTCCAGCTAGTTTTTCATTCTGACTATAACAATGTTTAATCAATAGGAGTCTTTTAAAAGTGGAATAAAAAAAGTTGTGAAGCAAATTTTCTACAAAATAATAGTGGGAAGAAGATATTTTAAATGGGGAAATAAGCAATAAATTTTATAATTTTCTGAGAAAATAACTCTTTAGTCATGAAAGAGGTATTTTAGAAGTTGTGTTCTGACTTTATTCATTCAGCTAACATAGGAGTGCCTGCTGTATGTCAGCCACCTGTTCTGCACAAGCTAGATAGAGCCTGAACTTGCTGACAACAAAAAATTATAGCACCATTCATATTCAATACCTCTAACTTATCTAGAAGAATATTTAACTTAACTTAATATTTTTTGGTGGGGATTCAAGGAAAATTTGGAAGGCTTTGTGTATAGAAACTTCACAAAGAATCAGGTTTTAATGTAGGAAATTCCCTAAGACATATTTGCCTCAAGGTTGGTTATTAATTTGGTTTCTCCAATTCAAAGTTACAAAGATGGAGTGGGTAAGTGGGGAGTGCATATGGAGTCCTGAGATAAAATTGGAAAGAGAGAACCAGAATTTTCTGAAATGAATGAAATTAAGAACCATGGCTTTAGAGACTTACTGACTTTAAAACATAGATAATACATTCAAGTACCATAAATTTTATTTTGATAAAGTGTACCTTTAAAGAAAATTTTCATCTTTCTTTGGCTACATAGAAGGCCTTTTTTTCTGTGACCTTCTCTATCTAGAATTTACAAATTTCTGTATAAGGACTAGCCTTAAGAACACACATTATTAAGGAAATGCATATAATAATAGCATATACAGTTCTCTAGGCAGGAAAATCTTAATTTTTGAGCAAGCTATGGATTTTTTTGAGATAAGTTTTCAATTAGTAATTATCATAATGGGATTTGACTTAGGAATTATTATGGCTTCCAGGTTTGGAATATATTATTATGCTTGTTAAGTTTGTAACATTTCAAAATTTACCAATAATAACTGAAGGGGATTTTTAAAAAAAGAAACATGAGTTATCACAGATAAATCTATGGAAATAACAAAGAGAGAGGGTGGGAGAGGTCAAGGCTAGACTTTAACACCACATCACTCTCTTTTGAACCAACACACTGACAGCTCCTGTCAGAAAGGGTCATTCTAAGTAATTGGTTAATAAAAGGAATGACTGTCTCAGGATTCAGTAAATGGAGCATCAGTGTCAAAAAGGAATCTGTTGCTGAATGAAGCCATTTGGAAGTTACACCAAGAATATAGTCTTAATGAGATTGGCATTGAAGTCTGTTTTTCTGCTATAAATTTAAAATTAATTTTGCAGGCTTTTAAAATTAAATATTTACACTGTAGAATTTAGAAGTCGTTATTTCTGCTGATGTTGAAAGTATTTATATCACCACTCCAGCACAGGATGTTTCTAGTAAATATCACTCTATAAATGTGCCTGATTCTTTTTATCTCAAGGATCTTTTGGTTTCTGCTTATTCTCTTCCTCCTGACCCATCCCCAGCAGCCATTTCTCCTTTCCTTTCTTTCTTCTCTTCCTTCCCTCCATTCTCCCTGCCTCCTGCCCTGTCTCCCTATTTCCCCGCTCCCACACTGCATGAGGCTTCTTTAACACATTATTTGTAAAAGGACCACTTCAGTTTTTGTTGACATTTGTTTCTGCAATTATATTTAAATAAAGTATTAAGTTTCTAGCATAAGCATCTGATCTTCCAGTTTTTGTTAAATTTCATCTATTGTAGGTTTGTTACAAGAATGGTTCACTCTTTTTAAGACATTAATTGGTATTTAATATGAAAGTAAATAAATATCAATTGTTATTCCTCACAGGTAAAATACAAACTTTAAGTTAACATTAAAGAAACTTTATCTCACAACTTAAAAACACCATTTTAAAATGTGATAATCTATGAAAGCATTTATTTTTAAAGTAAAACTAATAATTTACAGCAATGGGATAATGGTGAAAGACTGTCTTTCAAGATATGTGTTCACTTTAAATATTCATTAGAATCTTGAGTTGCCCCCCCCAAAATCAAGCAAATTAATATGGATCTATTTTTTCGGATCAAAAGATGTTTTATTTTCAGTTTATTGCATATTAACTCTTTTCTTTTTTCCATTCTAAATATTAGCTGCAAAATGAACGGGAAAATGATCCAACTCACATACCATTAATGGAAGAAGTATCTACATGGAAGAGTAGAATTTTGAAGAGGACAGCTATTACAATATGTGGTTTTGGGCTGATTCTTTTCATTTGCAAGCTAACTTTTCAGAGAAAATAACCCTAATGTTTGTTTTAAATTATGTCTGTATGTCTTATTCAAACTATCCTCATTTGCTTTTAATAACCATCTGTGGTACAACATAACTTCATTCTTTGCCTGTACTCCATAGGAAAATTATGATAATATGAAGCAGAGAGTTTTTCTTTAGAAAGTGATTTGTCAATTTGAGTTGTAAATATAGTTTATAATTTTGTTAATTTTGATCAAGCAGTAAATTACACATAATTCTTTAGTTTGAACATACGACTAAATCACATTCAAAATAAAAGTTTTATCTAATATTCTTTATATTTTAAAGTGTGTTCCTTTGTCATTGATAGTCTTAGAGAATTTGCAAAGAGTTCATAAGTCAGTAGCTTTATTTTAGTCCTTATTTACCTCTTCTATTACTACATAATAAGGAATTTCTTACTGCATTTTTTGAGATATTTTTAGGAAATTATTGATTTTAAAGGCATTTCAGAAAATGCAAAGGATGAAGGTAAAATGTCAAAACTTTTAATTATGGATTAAATATGTAGGAAAAATATTTCAAATGCAAAGTACAAAAGCAGAAAATCATAATAGTGTAAAAAGCACAAAGTACATTAGAATTTTTAATGGAAAATATTTCTGAAATATGACAAATTAGGTATAACATTCTGACAGATATTATGAAAGTAGAATATGGCATATATTTCTCATAATATAAGATGTATTTTATCATAATCAAAATATTGATATTCAGATTTTTTAAATGAAATTAATAAATTAATAAAAGGACAGGCACAATTTAGTAGGCAATATGGTATTTAAATCTTGCTTAATTTAGTGTCATACTTAAAACAGATGCATTTATTTGAAATTGCTTGAGAAGTAAACATCAAGCAAAGGGAGAGAATTCTTGAAAAAAATTCATGATTTTAACTCATATTTCCATAACTTTATTCTGAAAATGTAGAAATTGTACTGCTCAAAAGGAAACTGATTATACTGTAAAAAACTATGGGGAGGGGACTACCAGGGGTTTTCTTGGGGAGAGATGAGTAGATCAATATTTGAATGTCTATGATAAGGTCTTCATAAACATTTTATTGTGTAGTGTCATGAGAAATATATTCCTATTTTATAGAAATTAAGTCTTAGAGACACCATTGAAGTAAATTGTTGAAATTCACACCACTAATAATAAAGCTGGGAGTTCAGTTTATACTGTTTAACTTTTAAAATCTCATGCTCTTTCCAGCATTCATTCATTCACTTAAATATTTACTGAACACTTCCCATGTACCATCCATTTTTTCAATGTTAGGAAATCAATGATCCCTGCCCTTGTAGAACTTACATTTTAATAGAAATAAACTACAAAGCATAAATACCATAAATGCTTTTTTAAAAAAAGTTATACAAGGTAAAACAGGAAAATACAAGATGAAGTTCGTATTTTAAATAACAGAAAGACCTCACAAATTTCAGATCTTTTGTGAAAAACAAAAGTTTACAAAGCAAGCCATACAGATATCTGGATAAATCCATTCAAGAACAGAAACTATCACTACAAGACCAAAGTGCTCCAGAAACCCAGAATGGCTAGAATCAAGTGAGTGAGTAAAGAAAATATTAACTCAGAAATAATAGGACACTGGATTGCTGGAACCTCTTAGTTTTAAATTAAGTGAGCTGAAAAACTATTGACAGATTTTGAATGAAGAATTAATAGGATCTGATGTATATTTTAAAAGGACCTCTACTACTGATATTTTAAAACAGACTAGGAACACAAAGTGTGGAAGCTATGGGGCTATTTAGAAGGTTACTACAATGAGTTAGCAATGGAAATAGTGAAATCAGTTGTGTTCAACACAGGTTTCTAAAGAACCAATAGGATTTACTTAGAAGCAAAAACCAATAACCAAGGATTACATTTTTTGGCTTGAACAATCAGAAGGATAAAACTGTGACTTACCAAGATAAGTCTCAGAGAAAGGCAGAGCAATTAGAAGGGTAGAGAAGAGGTCTGAATAAACAGTAGAATACATTAGAAATTCAGGAGCGAGAACAGATTAAAACTAGGAATTTATAACTTCAAAAATATGGTAAATCTGAGTTAGATACAAGGGAATGATGTCGACAGAGAACTGAGCTTGACAGAGAACTGAACTCAGGGCACCAACATTCATAGGAGGGGGGACAGGAAGAACTGGGAAAGATTGAAGAGTGGCCAAATGAGGTCAGACAAAGGTCAACAACTTCAAGCTCATTGGCCAAATTCAGCCCAACAGGTGGTTGGCAGTATTAGTCACAGAGAAATATAAATTAAAAACCCAAGGAGATAAAGTAGTATTGATACAGAATAAAACTTATACATTGATAGTTAAACTGTAAATTAGTGAAAGCCATTTTTGAAAACTGGTGGTGTCTATTAAAACTTTTAAACATGTTTCCCTGATGAACCAACAGTACTAATCCTAAATATATGCTCTAGAAAAATGAATTGTACACATCCACAAAACACACGTATGAAAGTGTTCATAGTAAGCTTCTCAGTAGCCCAAAATTTCTAACCACCAAAACATTCTTCAGCAGAAGGGATAAATAACAATATTTATACAGTGGAATACTGCCTAGTGATAAAATAGAACAAACTGACTATATATAAAAACATGGGTGAATCTTATGAATTTGTTTTAAAAGCCAAACAAAATTTTGTACTATATGATTATTCCACTTATGTAGAGTCAAAATAGGTCAATCTTATTTATAAAAGTAGAAGTCAAAATATTAACTAGGACAGGAAGAAAGAATGCTGGAAATTTCTGTATCTCAATCTTGCTGGGAATTACTTGGGTATGTGCACAAAAATTCAGCAATACATACAATGTCTAAAATTATTAAGACTTAAAGGGATTTAAAAAAAACTGTTAAAAGGGGTTATGAAGCTTAGTAGAGTAGAAATAGGGGGAACAGGGAGGAGGGAAGGGGAAAAGGGGGCATTAGGGACTTGAATGGAGTAAATGAAATTTCATCATGTGTGATTATGTCAAAATGATCCCAGTCCTTATGTACAACTGTAATGCACCAATAAAAGCAAAAAATAAAACTTAAAATACCTGCACGATATCCTGAATTTGAAAACAAGTTTAAAAGGTAGGTATTATTATTTTTATTTTTTTATTAATATTGGGTTCATTTTGACATACTCATAGAACTATAGAATATAATTTTGCTCCAGGTCAGTTCCCAGTACTTCCCCTTTTCCTCCCCTCTCCCCTCCCCTTCTTGACCTTTACTTATTGTTCCCTATTATTTTTTTAATTAGTGCAATATAGATATACATAATTTTGAAATGTACTATGGTATATTCATACATGTACATAGGATAGTTTGATCATGTTCTAAAATATACATACTATTGAAAAGAAAATACTAAATATGTTTTAAAGAGAAATGTAAAACATTGATCTACTATTAGCAAGGATAATTTCCCTAGGTATTTTGCTTAGGGTACTAAATATAGAATTAGAAGAGAATTGATATGAGCAAGTTCATCACATTTTTGATATACAACAAAGGCAAAGTTATAAAATATGAATAAAGGATATATCATAAGAATTTGTAAATTATAAATTAAAAATAGTAAATACTATGAAACTATGATCACATATATTTGGTTTTCTTTAGCTATACATGACGGTAGAGTATTTTGACATATTGGACATACGTGGAGTATATTTATTCTAATTAGGATCCTATTCTTGTGGTTATACATGTTGTAGAGTTACCCTGGTCGTGTATTCATATGCAAGGGTAAGAAAGTGATTTTCGATTAATTCTACTGTCTTTCATATTCCCCTCCCCACTCCCTTCCCTTCATTGTACTTTGTCTAATCCTGTGGACTTCTATTCTTCTCCTTTCCAACCTCCCTAGTTGTGAAATCCATAAAGCTGAGAGAATATTTGTATCCACAAAGCAGAGAGAGCTTGTGGCCTTTGTTTTTTTAGAATTGGCTTATTTCACTTAGCGTGATATTCTCCAGTTCCTTCCATTTACTGGCAAATGTCATAATTTCATTCTTTATGGCTGAGTATTATTTCATTGTGTGTCTATATACCACATTGTCTTTATCCATTCATCTGTTGAAGGGCACTTAGGTTAGTTCCATAGCTTGAGTATTGTAAAATGAACTGCTGTAAACATTGATGTGGCTGTGTCACTTGTAGTATGCTGATTTTAAGTCCTTTTGGTATAAACCCAGGAGTGGTATAATTTAGTCAAATGGTGGTTCCATTACAAGTTTTCTAAGGAATCTCCATACTGCTTTCCATTACTGGTTGCACCAATTTGCAGTCCCATTAGCAATGTGTAAATGAACCTTTTCCGCACACCCTTGCCAACATTTATTGTTACTTGTATTCTTGATAATTGCCATTCTGACTGGAGTGATCTTATATTGTTAACTAATTTTTTTAAATAGCTTTCTTGAGATTATTCACCCATTTAGAGGGTAAAATTTATGACTCTTGGTATATTTGTTTTCTAGCTATAACCAAAACCAATTTTAGAACATTTTTATTATTGCAAAAAGAAGCACCTCTCCATCATGTATAACAAATTAGAATTTAAAAAAAAAGCACCTCACCATTTACTTCTCATTCCCAACTCTACCACACTATGCCTCCCAGCCCAGGGAACCACTAATCTTCTTTCTGTACAGAGTTACCTATTGTATACCTTTCACATCAATGAAATCATTGGATATGTGATCCTATATCCTTTAGATGTTCTTTAATTTCTCTCAAAAGTGTTCTATAGTTTTCAGAGTATACATTTTGCTTTTCTTTTGTTTTTGTGTTACTTTTTAATTTCATTTTCAGTTGATTGATTGCTACTCTGTGGAAATACAATCAATTTTTTCATATATATGTTGATTCCTTTGACCCTGCTGAGTTTGTTTATTCTTTTAAATAGTTTTTTTAGGAGCTGTCTTGGGATTTTCCATATGCAAGCTCATGTTTTCTACAAATAGACATAAAATTTTACTTCTTCTTTCCCAAACTTCATGTCTTTCATTATATTTTCTTGTCCAATTGCCCTGGCCTAGAACTTCCAATATAATATTAAATAGAAGTAGCAAGAACAGACATTGTTATCTTGTTCTTGATCTTAGAGGAAAAGCATTTAGTCTTTCACAATCCAGTATGATGCTAGCTGTGGGTTTTTCATAAATGTACTTAATAAGGTTCAGGAAGTTCTCTGTTTCTAGTCTGTTGAGTGTTTTTATCAGGAATGGGTGTTGAATTTTGCCATATGCTGTTCTGTATCTGTTCCCAACATATAGTTTTGTCCTTTTTTCTCTTGATCTGGTGTGTTACCGATCTTGAATTCCTGGAATAAGC